AATATTGCACTCTTGAAGATTATATATCTCGTGCTCTTGAAGATAGCACAACTTAATATGAAATATTTGTGTTGATGTTTTGAAGAAACACAATATTATTAATATTTTAAAAAGAAATATTTATTGTTCCAAAAGAATATAATATTATAATTTTAATATTCTTGAAGTATATTGATGGATAAAAGTAAAAACACGAATTAAATTACTCTATTTATTTATACGTCCATTCTTTTGCAGATGCATTTAAATATTGATGCTCTGGATAGATTTTATTGCTCTCGAATAGTATAATAATATAAGATCTAACGTAAAATTACGTTTTTACTTTTGAAGAGTAAATCCTTTTATTATTTATTATTGTAAACAATAATATGTTATTGCTCCTGAAGAACATAACATTAAAATTTTCTATATTTCAGAAGAATATTGATTTATTGTTCTTGAAGAAATAATAGTAAAATATAATGTGATCTCGAAATAGCAAATTATAATTTTTATTAATATTCCACTTAAATTTTATTTGCTCTTGAAGAGTATAATTACATACAATCTAACATAAATTAAATTTTTACTTCTGAACAGTAAATTCTTGTATAATTTATTATCATAAAATTTAATTGCTCCTGAAGAGCTTGAATTATAATTTTCAATATTCTAGAAGAATATTGACACATTGATATTGAAAAAGCAATAATAAAATATTGAGTACTTTCGAAGTAGCACATATTTCTAAGAATTATACTTCGTTGTGTTCGTAAAAAAAACAAAAATTACATGTTTATCCGTAAACGAAAACATACAATTTAGTCATATGAACTTTGATTTTTATACGTTATATCATAGTTAATTGTGCTTTTAAGAATTAACTATTTCTTTTATTCGATTAAACAGCTATTTAAATTTGAAACTTTGTATTGAACCAAAAGTTCAATTATTTGGCATTGCTAGTTGGACTATTATTGGATTAATAATAATGCGAAATTTAAAAATTCAAAATGTATATTCAATGAAGAACTAAGATTCTTCAATCCAACGAATTTCTATATATTATTTTTTCTTTTTATCAACAATTGATCATTAAATATCACTAACTAAAATATGGATTGAATTCCCTATATTTCTGAAAATTAATTAGAGTAATATATGGGGCCCGTCACCCACTACGTTGACCATCTAAATATTATTTATATATAATAGATTTGAGATAAATATTAGATAATTACATGGTGTTTGTGACCTAAAGTTTACGAAATTAGTGCTCAAGCCATGAGCATAATTTTCAGATTATATTATCAAGATCGTGTCTCATTAATGTTAGTGGGCATAGATCTCAACATTTTAATAAGTGTTAGTGGGAATGTCAATAAATGGTTTAACATTGTAGTTTGTTACATGCCTTCAATTAATTTAATTGAGAAAAAAATACTTCTCATTTTTGTTTAGATGATTCTATTACACATCATGCCAATATCATAGTTTTCCCGTTATAATTAAATTATGGTAGCATTGTAACATCTCGAAATCATTTTCATATTTATTATTTTATTCTTTTGTAAAAATAGGCTCGAAGTGTTATCAAATTCTTTTTCGTCTAATTTAAGCGGAAATATCACTTTTATTAAGGGTTGAAATTTGAAAATGTGATTGATAATTTAATAACGATAAAATGCAACCTAAGTAAAATTTTCATATTAAATATAATTCTTGAAATACTTCATTCCAAACTATTAGTTTAAGATTTAACATAAAATGTCGAATGCTGGATTTCTAAAAATATTAATTAATGAGCATTAACATAAAGATATTATTCAAATAAAATTTGAAAATTATATTTTCTGAAAACTTTACTTGGCGAACCCATAAGTATCACTCGATCAATCTTCCACGCATCTACACGACTTGTTCTAATATGAAATTTTAGTAAGAGTAAGTATTTTGAAAGCACCAATAAGAATACGCGCACATTTTTATTCACATGATATAAATATAAAACTGATATATCATACTAACATTTCTTAAATTTAGAACTCAAAGAATTTCTTAAGAGTCCCCACATCCCGTAGCATTTAACATAATTGACCCAAGAGGTCCATCCCATAAGATTTAATATCTTTGACCAAACGATCCATCAAATAGGATTTAATATATAATTCGACCCGAAGGCCTTATAGTATTTCATGCCAAAATTTATATAAACATCAAGAAATAATAATTTACCACTTTACACGATATATTCTTACCTCAATTGATATGTAAAAAATAATAATGTATACATGCATTTTCATCTAAATCCTCGCAAAATATCGTTCGAACAGAAGTTCAAATGATAATTTATTTAGATGCATTTACTGATTAAAGAGATAAACATCAATTTTAAGTGCTCCAATACGAATTGATGTTCTTTGAGGACAATCTATTAGCATTATATTTGATATATTTATGGCACTTCTGAAATGTGATAGTATTTGATTCTAATACAAAAAAAAAAAAAAAAAAAGGGCTCTTTT